AATATATATATACATATATTTGTGTGCTGTTGTTTGTGTTTTCAAAAAAAAAAACAAAAACAAAAAACAAATTGTCTTTGTGTGTGCTGCTCGGTTGTGTTTAAAACAAACACACACACACACACACAAAAACAAATTTTTTCTTTGTTTGTGTGGTTGTGTTGTGTGTTTCAATATATATATATATATATATGTGATCACCATGTTCCGTATTATGCTGATTGGTCCTTATTATGAATGTGATTATGTGTTTGATATGATTCTGTGTGCCATTTATGTGAAAATATGTGGTTTTGAATTTCCATCTATTCACCGTAGGAAAATCTGTTTGACTTTCTGCTTTGGAAATTAAATTGAAGGCCTTATCGGCCACAAAACCCGAAATTGACTGCGCCATTGTGATTAGCATAATTTTTAGAGCCTACAGTGAAATTTAATTGAAAATTTAGTCGAATCAAAATAATTAGATTCAAAACGATTAATTAAGTGCTTAATTATTTAATATTAAAATAATGTGATTATTAGGGGCTATATAAGGGCCATTATATGCTCAGTCCTTCTCTTTTATTCAAATTGGCTGATGTTACTCTAAGAAAAGAGAGAGAGGGTCGGCTAGAGAGGGAGAAATAAGGAGAATTGTGTGTTTGGCTCAAGTTTGAGAAATTGGAAGGTTGGACTCGAGATTCAACTAGAATTTGTGAAGATTAAAGCCTCTAGGTAAAAAAAATTCATGGATTTTAAATTGTAATTTTGTGAATTCAAGGTTGAATAATGATCAAGAACATGAATTAAATTGATTATGATGAAATTGAGTTGGTTTTGTTGAATTGAAAGTCAATATGCACATGCATGTGAGAAATTGCTTTGAATTTGCATGCTTGAGCACAAAATGTATAATCCATGTGAGATTTTAGTTAAAGCTCATATTTTGACCATCTCTTCATCATCTAAGTTGAAATGGGAGTTATATTCCACATGCATGTACAATTCATGAGAAAATGAGTTTGAAATACATGGAATTGCTATGATGGAAACAAGTTTGGTGTAATTTGGAACATGCATGTAAGTAATTCATGGAATTGAGCTTCATCATGTTGTAATTTGGTGTTTGTACCATGTTAATACATGTATATGTGAAGTTTGAGCCAAAATTATGTGTTTAGAGCCTTTGAATATCAAGTTTGAGCTCAAGGTCAGGTTCTGGAAAACCCAGAATTCTTGACGTCCGCTCGAGCGGGGGAACCGCCGCTCGAGCGTAAAATACGGGCTCCCAGTATTTTTGCAGGCATGGATGTTTGCTCGAACGAGGAAGTTCACGCTCGAATGGGGAGCTATGTAGAATGACCTTCAGCTCGAGCGTCCGAGTTCACGCTCGAGCGTAAAAATAAGACAACCAATACTTTTGCAGACCTTATTGGTCTACTCGAGCAGGGAAGTCCACGCTCGAGCAGGGACCCCTGTTTTTGAAATTTTGAAAATGCATTATGTGCTTCATTTTCCGTTCTCTTTCACTTCCAAGTACTCTCAGGCATGCATTAGGCATTGTAAATGAGTTAAAAGGATAAGAAACAAGCCTAAAAAGGAATATGTGAATTAAGGAACGGATTGAATCGTTTGTGACCCATGTGTGTTATGTAATATGTAGGGTCAAGCTCCAGGGCAAATCATCCAGCTGATCACTGTGAGTAATATCTTAATAAAGATATTTTGAAACATGTTATTTGTCCAATTACTTACTTCTCTATAAGTTTTATGAGTTTGTTGATTTGAATTGTGGACAAATGTTTGCTATGCCATATGGTTGGGCCTAAGGCCGTTTGCTAGAAATGAATGGGCCGAAGGCCAATTTGATGTAAAAGAATGAATAGGCCAGAGGCCAGTTTGACATGAATGAATGGATGGGCCAAAGGCCAGTTTGACATAAAAGAATGAATGGGCCAGAGGCCAGTTTGACATGAATGAATGGATAGGCCGAAGGCCAATTTGACATGAATGAAGGGCCAAAGACTAGTTTGACATAAATGACTGAATGGGCCAAAGGCCAGTTTGACATAGAAAAATGAATGGGCCAGAGGCCAGTTTGACACGAATGAATGAATGGGCCAGAGGCCGTATGACATGAATAAATTGGGCCTGAGGCCGTATGATGTGTTTGGAACCGCAGTCACTTGACCTAAATTTGTATATGTATGCTAAATAGAAATACGAATTGGGCCCAAGGCCGTTTGAAGTATGTTGTTCTACATACCATTTATATAACTTCTTTGTTTGATATTATTCACTAGGCTTTCGCTCACGCTCATTCATGTGTCTGTAGGTGAGCCAAGGGAGGTCCAAACCCAACCTCAGTGAAGTTTGTGTGGAACAACCAAGGTTTTGAAGAGTCATCCCTTGCGTCTCACGCACGAGACCCGTCTCCGTCCTTTTGCCATCTTGTTTTATTTTGTCATGTCGGCGAGGACTGTGGATATGTTTGTATATAGTTCTGATTGGCTAACTTAGACTTGAATAATCCTGTACGTACAGAACTTTGTGTTAGTGTATATTTTGATGTGAGTTGTTAACATGTATTATGTATGGTTTGTTAGGATGTGCTATATAAGCACAGCTCTATGGACATAAGTTTGAAATTGCTTCCGTTTGGTCCCTTTACTCTAATGAGTTATGTCTTATTTGGTTTGAGGCCGTCGGTAATCTCGCGATTACTGGCCGGTTATGTCCTTAACCCATGGGGCCGGGTTCGGGTCATGACAATATATATATATATATATATTTGTGGTTTGGCTTTCAAAAAAAAAAAGAATCAAAAAAAATTGTGTTCTGTGCGTGGTGTTGGAAAAAAAAAGTTTTTTGATTAATTGTTAATTTTTTTGTCTTAACAATTTAATTATATCTTAGTTTATTATACTATATTTTGATTGAAAATATTTTTCTGTCTCATATTCGGATGATCTTCACATGCACATAGTCGCTTAAATATTCTTTGATTGATTTTTGAATTTAGACTTGAAATCTTTATATTTAATGTGGAGACTATAACCCGTGTGAGATTTTGAACTTATCATTCTTTTTGGAGGGTTATTTTACATTTACTCTTCATTTTTTCTTTGACATCTCATTATGTCGTTGTTAAGTTTTATTATTCTTTCAAATTAGTCAAAAACATTGAAATCATCATTTTTATGCCATTTTGTCCTTATGGATCATGCTATATTTTGAGAAATGATTTTAGACCATCTTTCTTTGTTTGAGCCTTATTTTTAAAAAATTTAAAAAAAAAAAAATTCTTGTTCCAATTATCACTTGAAAAGCTTTTATTCATTTAGCCATTTCCTTTGGTGTCTCAAGAATGGATTTTATCTGTTATTTTGGGGGGAAGCTATCTTGTAAGCAAAACAAGGAGTTTAAAAAAAATAAAAAGAAAAAGGAAAAAAGAAAAAAAAAAGAAATTTATTTACTTCAATGTTAAAAAAATAAAAATAAAAATAAAAAAAGAAAGAAAAATTAATAACATGGAAAGTATTTAAGATGGTTGTGAATCACATGTAAAAAAAGAGTCAAAAGGGCGGGTTAATAAAGCAGTATTTCATATATATTGTTTTCGCTTAATTCATTTCTTAGACACCTGTTTTCTACCCTTCACCCAATTTTGTAAATAATTCCCCTTGACCCAATATTACAACTGAAAATAAAGTCCTATTTGATCTCGGAATTAGTATGATTTTTCAGACAACAAATTGGCATAATTTTATTATTTCCAGCATTCTTATCATGAGATTATACATACTTTTCTATACATCATTTTTTCATTTCTAAATGTGAGAAATTTTCGTTTTGTTAAACATAAGTTTTCTCTCACATACATATATTGGTGAGCTGAGCCATTTCAAAGTGCTTCATTTGTTGAGAGTAAACTAGAGAGAATTGACTCGAAGCATGCTTCTGATAGAACTAGAGTCTTATTCTATTTTTAGATTAAATAATATTTTTGTCGGCTATAATTTACACACACACACCGAATATAGAGGTAGATAGATTATTCTTACTAATTGCAAGTATTCTGAACTCTGATAATTCTTTTGTTACTATATTAAAATTAACAATGATCATTGTGAATATTTTTCTTCAAAAAAATGTTTTTTTTAAATAAAAAAAAATCTGAATTTTGTGGGTGTGCAAACCTTCACGAAACTACAACTCGTTCACTAAGGGCAACTTAGGGGTTCAAAGGCTAGTTGCATACACTCAATGCAATTGTGTTCTCTGCGAAAATGGCATATATATTTTCTTTTCTTTTCTTTTTAATTTGTTTTACTCGAGGACTAGCAAAATGTAAGTTGAAAGGTGTGATTGGAGCCTAAATGTTATACATTTTGACCCTCTAAAATATATTTTGTTCAGACTACTTTACTATGTTTGGACTATTTTATATGGATCAGTGACCACTGCTCACTTGGATTCAAATTAGAAACTTTTGTATAATTTACAGTGGTGTCTTCCATTTCAATTTCCACAAATTGAAGCTGGTAATTTATTAGCTGAAGTTGATCTGAAGTAAAGCTATATTCTTGCTATAAGTGTTCCATGATTAAAGTCGTTGATGCATTATTGATGTCATTTTTTTTTATTGAGCTAATATATTGGTTATGTTTCACAGATGATTTGATTGTTGATCCGCGCAACTTGGAATGGATGAGGGAAGCTAATTGTCCCATTGTGAGTAAATTATTTATGCAGTTTATTTTATGATATATTTCTGTTTAAGGAATAGTTCTTTGTATGGTTGCACCCTGCCTGCGGTCACATTACTATTTCTGAAGGATCTGATAATTTGGTTCTGACTACAGGTGGCTGATATCACCCATTCTTTGCAACAGCCTGCTGGAAGACAGGTGTGGATCATTTCTGAAATATATTAAAGAGCTTATACTGGGAGAGCTTATAAGAGATTGTGCTGTAAGCTCTTTAATCTCATTATACTGGGAGAGCTCATATGTTTCTCCCAGTATGAAACATATTTAATAAGCTCTTTAATCTCATTCCCACTTAATAAGAGATTGTGCCACTTTCATTTCAGATTTGGCTGATGCTGTGATTGAAAGTCTTCCATACGTTGGAGCGATGGCAGTCTCAAATCTTGAAGCTTGACAGGTCCGACTTTGGACATTTATATTTAAAACATGGAACTAATGTGGAATGCTAGTTATAATGTTGAACTAATAAGATCTTGTCTTTACTGATGTGCCATATTTTATTTATTTATTTTGTTCTGACTGGAGGTTGTGGGTATGCCTTTTGCAGTCTCTAGTTCCTCTTGGAAGCGTTGAAGAACTATTGGCAGCGTATGATTCGCAGCGTCGGGAGCTTCCACCACCGGTCACGGTGTGGGAATGGGGATGGACAAAAAGTGCTGAAACTTAGAATAATTGTAGTGTAGTGATATGAAGAAAATAATACATTTTTTTTGCAGTTATTTTATTCCTTGGTGCCTGCACAAAGCCTCCTCGGCTGTCCATGGTGACTGAATACGTGGAAATGGGATCATTGTACCATTTAATCCATGTGAGTGGGCTGAAAAAGAGACTCAGCTGGAGAAGGAGAGTGAAAAGGATATGTGATATATGCAGGTGCATTTGACCATCAACTTTTCCATTGCACTACCTCATTGACATTGCACATTTATGTTGGTACTACTGCTAAATAAGTAACTTATGGTTGCTTTTGGAGCTCAGTATATTTTCTTATGTTGGTATATTTGCTTTTGCATTAATGAATGAGCATTCCTTCACTATAGGAAATATCTGTTTTGTGGAAAATGATTACTCTTTTTTTTTATATTTACCATAGGCCTATATTATTCAATTAAATGTTGAAGGTGTATTTCCTCGTTAAGTATTTTGTAATTTTTCAGCTGAGTTTAAAATGAAAAGGTTATTATTCCTTTTGTCATTTGCAATGACTACTTGTTCAAGCTTTTGCTAATTGGAGATTCTGGAGTTGGAAAATCATGTCTTCTTCTGAGATTTGCTGTAAGTGCTTTGGAATGTTTTTCACTTTCTCTTATATTTCTTCTTTTTAATGAAAATCTAGTTGTAGTGATAGACAAATTTGTAGTTTATCTGATTTTCCCTTTTGTAGTTTATCTATGTTGCATCTATAATATATATAAATGTTGACATATATTTGTATCTGTTTGTCTTTACATACATATATTAGGTTTGTGGATACCATATTCTGAATCTGAGTAAACAAAATTTGAATCTTACCTACTTTATAGTTGATTCTGTTATGGGAAAGAATGCAGAGTATGTGGGTTATTTATTGGAAATTTGAATCCCAAATGAAAGGCCCACAGTTTTGAATCAAATATAAGATATTTATTGGGTATTTGTGCATGTGCCTTCAGAAATTGCTGTTCTGTTGTTTGATTCTCCTCTTGAGCTCTGTTTTGTTCCTCACTGTCACTGCGAGATCGCCGATCTTCAAGGTATGTTTCGTTTCTCTACTTTCTTTTTGATCTATACAAATTGCATATATATATATATATGTGTGTGTGTGTGTGTGTGTGTGTGTGTGTGTGTGTGTGATTGTGTTTATAAAGTTTAATTTGATTGTTGATTGTTTGTTATTTGAGCTTCAAATCTGTGATTCTGTCTGTTTAGTTACTGAAAAACAGTTTAATCTATGATTTTGTAGCTTATGTTGACTTTACAGGCACTTCCATCAATTGAAAAGGACAACATGCCTACTGAAGGTATGGTATTTGATTAATTCTGAGTGTTTAGATGTTCATTCTGCAGTCAATTCAGGTAATGGGTTAGATGCTATTAAATTCAGTTTTTGTGTTATTCAAAAAAAGGTACTCGAATTTCTTCCTGAACTTTTTGTGTTATTTTTTTCTTTTTTTATCTTGATTTTTTGCATTCTTATTAGTGAGCTTTTTTGCAGTATTTCCCAGCCAAGCTGAGATGGTGAACATTCCAAATTGAAGACATTGATTTGAGAAATCACAGATTTTATTTTATTTTTCTTTTTGTGATTGATTCATGCACTTGTATAAAATACAACAGAGATTTGTGGGTTCTTTGTAAATCCACTGATGTGTTCTAGAAATGTTCTATCAATAAACAATTTAAATGCATTTGGCCAAGATAAAACATACACAGGTAGAATGATGTTGGGATTGAACTTATTGGATTTTTTTCTTGAAGGATGTTGTATTGGGTACCATTATAGATGCGAGGGAATAGTAATCTCACAGGAATATATGTCTATACAAAGTTTTATTCATTATTGCTATTTTACAGGTATATTTTTAAAGTTAAATCTTACAAAATTAGTAGTTTAAAAAAAAAAAATCTATTGTGGCGTTTTTCAAAACGCCACTATAGTTATATTTTAAAAATAGCTAAAAAGCTATTACAACGTTTTTGAAGTGTCGCTGAAGGCCTATGTGACGTCATGTTACCGTTGACTGTCACATTTAGCGGCGTTTAAAAACGACGTCTATACTAATTTTACGACGTTTTAAAGCGTCATAAACTTACAGCGACGGCCGCGTCCTCGGCATTTGGTGATAAGCGTCACTAAAGGAATTAGCGGTGTTTTTCAGACATATAGCGGCGTTTTTAAAACGCCGCTAAAAGTCATTTTTCCAGCAGTGATTGGAGTCTAAATGTTATACATTTTGAACCTCTAAAATATATTTTATTAATTTATTTATTTTTATTATTTTATATTTTTATAATGTTTTTTTGCAGTATTTCCCAGCCAAGCTGAGATGGTGAACATTCCAAATTGAAGACATTGATTTGAGAAATCACAGATTTTATTTTATTTTTCTTTTTGTGATTGATTCATGCACTTGTATAAAAATACAACAGAGATTTGTGGGTTCTTTGTAAATCCGCTGATGTGTTCTAGAAATGTTCTATCAATAAACAATTTAAATGCATTTGGCCAAGATAAAACATACACAGGTAGAATGATGTTGGGATTGAACTTATTGGATTTTTTTCTTGAAGGATGTTGTATTGGGTACCATTATAGATGCGAGGGAATAGTAATCTCACAGGAATATATGTCTATACAAAGTTTTATTCATTATTGCTATTTTACAGGTATATTTTTAAAGTTAAATCTTACAAAATTAGTAGTTTAAAAAAAAAAAAATCTATTGTGGCGTTTTTCAAAACGCCACTATAGTTATATTTTAAAAATAGCTAAAAAGCTATTACAACGTTTTTGAAGTGTCGCTAAAGGCCTATGTGACGTCATGTTACCGTTGACTGTCACATTTAGCGGCGTCTATAAAAACGACGTCTATACTAATTTTACGACGTTTTAAAGCGTCATAAACTTACAGCGACGGCCGCGTCTTCGGCATTTGGTGATAAGCGTCACTAAAGGAATTAGCGGCGTTTTTCAGACATATAGCGGCGTTTTTAAAACGCCGCTAAAAGTCATTTTTCCAGCAGTGATTGGAGCCTAAATGTTATACATTTTGAACCTCTAAAATATATTTTATTAATTTATTTATTTTTATTATTTTATATTTTTATAATGTTTTTATGTGTTTTTATATATTTTGAATGTTTGAACAAATATTAATATAAATAATACATTTTAGATATTTATATATTATATTATATTATATTATATTTATAAATTAAATAAAAAAATGCAAACACGCAAATATTATTATATTATCTTATTTGTTTTTATGCAAGTTGAATTGCCTATAAAAGGCAAACTAAAGAAACAAAGCAATTGGAGGGGAGAGAGCAGGCGGAGGCTTCGGGCCAAGGAAGCCCATGGAGAAGAAAGAGAAGAAAGGAAAAGGGGGGGGAGTGTAATTTGTATATATTAGAGTGTGGTAGATACATGAGCGTTAAGAATTAATTTTTTTTTTTTTTGAGGATAGAGATGAAATTTTGATCAAGTAATTAGGGTTTATTGTATTTAGTATTTTTAGGTGTCGTTTGGGAAGTGAGTTAGTTTTTTAACTTTTTACTTTTTTAGCTATTTTAGTTTGGGCTAAAAAGTTTGGTTTGGGGAAGGATTTTTTGATTTTTTAACTTTTTTTGTGAGAGAAAAGTGTAATGATTATGGATTGCATGTGATATTTTATTTGTTGTAGCTAAAGTAACATATTTTGTCTTTTGTGACTAAAATAGCCAAAAAAGCCACAAACTCATCTTCTCAAACGGTGCTTTTTGATTTGATTTGAATAAATTGTATAACTTTCAAATATTTTTGAGCAATAAATGTTTTATTCAAATAATGTTATACAATTATTTTCACTACTATGTATTAAAATTATTAAATAAGTCATACCTAGTAAGACGGGTCGTGCATTAATCATAGTTAGTTTAGTTTAATAGTGACGATCCGTGCTAAGCGAAGATGTTGCGTGATTTTCTAGTTTTAATATACAAATTCTCTTGACGATATATTTTCGATCAATTTATATCATTTTATCAAAATTAATGATTTTTTGAAAATTAATACAATAACCCCTAATTATTAGGTTAGCGGTGGATTCAAAATCCTGAGATATTTTTTATTTTATTTTATTTATTTGATGTTTTGTTAATTTTATTTTTAATGTTTTTAAAATCTATTATTTTTAAACTACTTTAATTATTATTTTTATATCAAAACAACTCAATTAGTCCCTGATGATTGGCACTTGGTCTTAACTGTTATTCTACGAAGTAATAGTTATTACTTAGTTTAAATATAATATTTTAATATAGAAACGGCAACATCAATGTTATTATAGATGGCATTTTTTATATCTCTACTTCATAAAATTATGCAAATTATATAATGAAAATAAATAAAATTTGAATTACCAAACACGTTTTCGTGTTTTCATTTTTAATTTTTTTACAACAAATTGGTACAGCCAAACATGTTTTCTATTTCAGCTTTTATAAAAAAAAAAATAAACAAAAATGAGTTTTCAGTACTTTAAAAACGGAAAATAAAAACGGAAAATATTAACAAATGAGGCCTTAAAGTGTAGATTTCTATCATTTTGCAATTATTATAATTATTTTTTTGCATTTTAAGTACAATTGATTTATACTCGTTTGGGAATATATTATTTTAATAATTTTTTGACTTTTTAACTAAAATTTGAGGTTAAAAAACTAGTATGTTTTGTGATGACTTTTTAATTTTTTTACTAAAAAACGGTAAAAAATTAAGAGAAATCGAATCTTTGACTTTTTTTTGTATAATTTATTAGTTTTCACTAACTTTTTTAATGATTTTTTTGATTGAGTAAGGAAATGGGGTCACTATTGTGTCTCAATTTGAAGTGTATTAAAAACTTATTTTTATAATCTGAACTGTTTGTTTTGTAGGATTTGTTAAGTACTTCATACCTCCTAAAAATATATTAATCGGATATCAATAACTATATGATCGAATTGTATATTTTTTTATGCTATTTCTCAAAAGAAAAACTTATTATTTATTTTTTTGATTATCGATCATATAGTTATTAATATCCAATTAATATGAATTTTGGTAGACATGAAGTACTCAACAAACCCTACAAAATAAACGGTTTAGATCATAAAAATAAGCTCATAATACACCTCAAATTGAGGCACAACAGTCGCTACTGTGCATTTAGCACAACAATGTTTCCATTTCCATTGAGGCTTGGTTTAGGAAGTAGGTTGACTTTTTAACTTTTTGGCTTTTTTGATTATTTTAGCCTGGGGCTAAAAAGTTTGATTTAAGAAGAGCTTTTAACTTTTTTGTGAGAGAAAGAATATAACGATTATGGATTATATGTGATTTTTTGTCTTATTAGAGCTAAAAAACCTATTTTATTTTTTGTGGCTATACAAACTCACCCAAACCCACTTCCCAAACAATGCCTGAGTAGCATGGGCCACCATCCTTTAGTGTGTAACAAATCACAAGTTGACATATTATCACATCAACAAAGATTCATACCACTAAAAAAAAAGACCACCAATAGCACTAATACATTGGGAATGTCAAAAAAAAAAAGCATAGGCAGTGGGTAGGGCCCACTGCCAGATCATTAGTGGTGCTATTAGAACACTATTTTTAGTGCTCTCAATCATTTTTCATAACCATATCATTGTGAGAACTTTTTGAGAGTCTCAAATATTTTTCTTTTTTATTTTTAGGCTGAAACATAAAGTTGCCAAACATGGACTCTTTTGCAATATTAGAAATAAATAAAGTAAGGAAAAATTATTAGAAAGTCCCATATGGGAATTAGTTACTTCAAATAGTCTCATGTATACTGATAGATCTTGTTTATTTTGATAATTTTACCGTGAGATTCTATTTTAAATTCGGCAATGCTAGGTAGCTCAAATTTTTGTAGCTCAAATGGCTCAAATCTGTCAAAACGACGTCGTTTTGACAGATTTGAGCCATTTGAGCCACAAAAATTTGAGCTACCAAACATTTTCCTTTTAAATTTTGGTATGATTTGGTAAACATTTCTACTCAATAACCCTTTCTCATTGAGGGACGCCATATCACGTTTCTGTCATTCCAATATAACAACATAATATATTAAAAATTTTCTTAATGTACTTTTAAAAACGTGACACTCCTCCAATATAACATTCTAAAAGACTCTTCCAACATAACACTCTAACGTAATACATTAAAAGACTTCTTAATATACTTTTTTCTAAATATAACACTCTAATAATGTAACATACTGAAAAACTCCTCCAACGTAACACATTACACTAAAAAACTCCTCAATATACTTTCTACAAACGTAACACACTGAAAAATTTCTCCAACGTACACTCCAACGTAACATACTATATTAAAAAATTCTTTAATATACTTTTCATAAACATAACACTCCTCCAACAAAACACATTAAAAAACTCTCCCAATATAATACTCTTGTATTACGCACTTTTTATTATATATTTTTATAAATGTATCACTATAATATAACACTAAAAAATTTTAATTATATATATATATATTAAATGTAATATTCCGTGTTGAGTTGTTTGAATTGTTGTTTGAATTCTGTCTAATGTGAGTCCTTGATATTGGTTTGGAATTTTAGCAAAAATCTGACTGCAGTGCCATTTATTAAATTCCCTCTCCTCTATTGTTGGTAAAAGGTTGGAT